CTGAACTGCCGCCGCCGATCGCAGCTTTTTTTTTTTTTTTTTTTTGCTTGGGGCGGCAGAAATGTCCTGAAGCCAGTAGGAGTTGAGGGCACATAGCACTTCACAAGATGAAGATCTTTAATAGCTTAAATGCACTTTGTGGTTGTCAAATTTAACATATTAAAAAAGCTAATCTTGTCCATTCGCTCAGTGCTGGAAGTGCAGGAAATATTGATGAAATCCTTCAACAGTGTTTCCAGTGTCAAGATACAGTATCACTGTACAGACTTGTTCTGAGATCAGTTCAGGAGTCCATGCTGAACGATAAAGACAAACACCTTATGAGAGAGGTAAGCAAATACTGCAATGGAAACTTTTGGAAGAAACGTGTTCCCTTTCCTCCGGATGAGTTTCTGTGAATTAAATAAAAAGAAAGTATTTGAGGACTTTTCATTGATTCAAAGCTATAATTCATAGGTTCATAGAATATAATGCCAGAAGGATCATGGTGATCATCTAGTCTGACCTGCTGTGTAATACAGGCCAGAGGACTTCCCTGAATTATTTCCTCTTTAAACTGGAGCAGATCTTTTAGAAAAACATCCAATCTTGATTCAAATATTTCCAGAGATGGAGAATCCACCCCAACACTTGATAAGGTGTCCCAGTCGTTAATTACCCTCACTCTTAAAAATTTGCACCTTATTTTTTAATTTTGTCTAAATTGGATTTTGTTTTACATTTGTCTGCTGGATTGAAGAGCCTTCTGTTATCAAAGTTATGTTCTTCCTGTAGGTACTTATAAACTGTGATCAAGTCACCCCTTAACTTTCTCTTTGATAAACTAAATAGTTTGAATTCCTGGAGTCTTTCACTAGATGGCATGTTTTCAAATTCTTTGGTCATTTTTGTGGCTCTTCTCTCCAATTTATCAACATCCTTTTTGAATTGTGGACGTGAGAACTGGATACAGTAAAGATGATATCAACACTACTCTTACTTGATATTTCCCTATTTATACAACCAAGGATCACATTAGCCCTTTTAGATCTATCAATTAGCTAGTTTTTAATCCATTTCGTGTGTCCCATGTTGATTTTATTTTAGTTTAGTTTCTTAATCAAAATGTTGTGTGGTGCAAAGTCAAATGCCTTATAGACGTCTAAATTTATTACATCAACACTATTATCTTTGTCAACCAAACCTGTAATTTCATCAGAAAATGATATCAAGTTAGTTTGACAAGATCTATTCTTCATAAACCTATGTCAACTGCCATTAATTGTATTACTCTCCTTTAATTCTTTATTAACTGAGTCCAGCATCAGCAGTTCCATATTTTGTCCAGGATAGATATCAGGTGGATTGGCATATAATTACCCAGGTCATCCCATTTATCTCTTTTAAATATTGTCTCAATATTAGCTTTCTTCCAGTTCTCTGGAACTTTCCCAATATTTCCAGACTTATTGAAAAACAGCACCAATGATCCAGAGCACTCCTCGACCAACTCTTTTAAAACTCAGGTTTTCCGGACTGGCTGATTTAGATATGTCTGTCTTTAGTAACGACTGTCTAATGTTCTCCTGAGTTATTGGTGGAATGGAAAATATTTCATCATCATATGATATGACTACATCATCTGGCTTTTTTCCAAATACTAAAAAGAAATATTTATTTAAATGCTTCTGCTTGTTGTACATTATTATTGAGAATTCTACCATTTTCCTCTAGTAATGGACTGATACCATTGTTAGGATTTCCTTTGTTTCCAATATACTTGAAAAACTCCTCCTTATTATTGTTCTTAACTCCACTGATCATAAATTACTCCTGGCGTCCTTTTGCTTCTCTTATCAATTTTCTACAATTCCTAGCCTCTGATTTATATTCATTACCATCAGCTTCCCTTTTTTCCATTTGTTATGTATTGGTTTGATTTTTTTCTTTTTTTGGGACTTCCCTTCTAAGCTGGGTTGTTTTTTGACCAATTTAGCCTTTCATTCTGCATTGTGGTTTTTTGGGTAAAATGTTCTTAAACAGTTCTCTATTATCATTCACATCTTTCTGTGTAAATTCTTTCTCCCAGTTGACTTGACTCATCATTGTTTTCAGTTGTGTGAAATTGGCCCTTTTTAAAGTGCCAAATATATATAGCGTTAGTTTGGACTGTGTCCTGTTCTGCACTTAACATATATAATCAAGCGATGTTCACTTAAACTAAGCAACCACAAATATTTAGTTCTGTGATCAATTCCTCTCAGTCAAGAAAAGGTCTAATACAAAATTCCCCTGTGTTGGATGAAACACTTCTTGAGTTAGGAAATAATCATCTGTAACTTTTAGAAATTCTGAGGACATTTTAGAACTGGCAGCATGAGCGCTCCACCATATGTCACTCAAATTGAAGTCCCCATAATAACAGCTTTTTTTCCTCTATACTTTATAGATAGGTGCTTAAGGAGCCAGTCATCCTGTTCTCTAGTATGATTTGGTGGTCTATAGCAAACACTTAAGTACTGCTCCATCTTGTTGCCCTTCTGTTAAGATATTGATCCACAAACATTCAAGAGCCAGTATCTAATATTTGGGTTATTCTAAGAAGAAAAAAAGTTAATAGCCAAATCCATCTCATTGAAGTTACATGAGGGACAAATTTGTCTCAGAAAGTGAAAGCAGTAATACTTATAATTGTATTTGCAGGCAATTTTGGTGCATGAAGTTCTTATGAGATTAAGATATTTATATTGTACTGTTGTATATTGTATAGCGTCTCGAACAACTGCAATCTCTGAAGTTCCCTTATTGCTTCAACAAAACACCTTTTGAAGGATAAAATATGTATTTAATTTGCTGTAGTAAAATGGAAATTGACAAATTTGCGTAACAGTCTTAGTTATGTGGACCCCAAAGATGAATAATTTACCCTTTCTATAATGTTTCCAATCTAAATCGTCCCTATTTTTGAAATCAGTTACTGTATTAAAGGTAAGACTACATAAATATTTCTAGAATGCTTGGGTAACAATGTTCACTAGAGACATGGTTTTGTATATTTTTGGAAAGATTTCTGAAGTCACTGTCTTATAAGCCATGTTGGGCCCAATATTGCCTTTATTTACTCCAGTATATCATTCAGTCATTCCACTGAAGCCAATAAGATTGACTCCAGATTGACACCAGTGTAACCTAGCAGAATTTTGCCTGAATTGTACATCC